CAAAGGCAACATTGGCTTTTTTATCACCTTCTTGCATTTGCGATTTTAGAGTCTTACAGTGCAGTAGGCCATTCAGCTCATTGCACCTGTGCTGATCCTTTGAGAGAGCTATCTAATTTATTCTGCTCTATCCTGCTCTTCCCCAAAGCAAATGTTTCTTTTCTAAAAAAAAACTTTTTTTTTCCAATTCTCTTTGGAAGGTCACAATTGAATTTGATTTTGGCACATTTTTCAGGCATTGCATTGCAGTTGACCATATAAATATAATTCTCCTCACCTGCTTTTCTTCATTTGTCTTTCAGCCAGATCAAAGCTGATGTGCTTGTTAAGTAGATGTGATTCACATTCCATTGTCTAATAAAGAACCCATAGCCTGTCCTGTGCCAGGAAAGTACTGGTTTTGTCACCAGTTTGAATCTTTAAAACCATCATTTACTGTCTAAATGTAGAGATTTAAAAGCTTTGCCTGATGCAATCCCAACCCATCTGAGCCAAAAGCTTCCTTTGCTTCTGGTCTGGGCTCTAATTGCTGAGACAGCAGTTGACTCCAATGAGAATGAATATAAAAGAGGGAGAAATTGCTGGGATTTGGTTCCTCGATCGTAAAATGTGCTGCATCTCAGAGATCAGAAGAGTTTGAAAAAAAAACTGGGTGTGAGCAGTTCTGGTTACACCAGCATTTATTGCCCAGCTTCATTCCCCTCAAGAAAGTGCTGCAGCTTTATTCATTGAATTGAATCTTCAGCATCTGCTAGATGGAATTTCAAACCCAGAGAGAGATTCATGCTCAGTCACGTGATAGAAAGAATATTGAAGCCTGCACCATCACTATCCGTAACTCCGTACTATCATGCAGTGTCATGTAAATGTTTATTCATGACCAGCTGAACTGAGTGAACTGTGACACACCAATACCATCATTCTATATCGTTGGCCTCTAGTTTTGCTCTTTCCCACATTGGAAACATTCTCTTTGTGTGTAATCTATCAAAACTCCTCAACCATCTTCTTTGAAGAGACAAGAGACCTATCCTGTTTACCTTCCGTCGATGAGTATAACCTCTGATATCATTCTCGTGAATCTGTTTTGCACCTACTCAGAGCATTTATATTTGTTCTTATCATGTGCAAAAAGAACTGTACATGATACTCCAAGCCAGGCTGAAACAAAGTTTGACACAAGTTTTGCATAGCTTCCTTATTCTTTGTAGAAGTAAACCCTAGTCCTGGGGAAGATTGTAGAAGTCTAGATCTTGTGGCCAAAGAAAAACATACATGTTAGGCTGTTGTTGTTCTATTATAGCTAATCAGTTGGTGATGGATAGGACTGGAGCTAATAGTTTACATTTATATGCAGAGTGAAGTGTTACATGCATTTACCCACTAACTCAACCACATCCCAATTTCAATAGATGTTACTTCATATGTGCTGAAGTGAAACCCCAATAACTGCTGAGTACCTGCATATAATTGATGTACAGTTAACAATATTAGTGCAGGATTGACTGTTTCTGATATTGGAATGAAAGTTAGCAGATTTGAAAACACTCCTTCGGCAGCAATAATTTCAGATAAAGAACAAAGAAAAAGAAGAAAGAAAATTACAGCACAGGATCAGGCCCTTCGGCCCTCCAAGCCATCACTGACATGATGCCCGTCACAACTAAAACCCCCGCCCTTCCGGGGACCGTATCTCTCTATTCCCATCTTATTCATATATTTGTCAAGACACCCTTTAAAAGTCACTATAGTATCTGCTTCTACTACCTCCCCCGGCAGTGAGTTCCAGGCACCTACCACCCTCTGTCTAAAAACACTTGCCTTGTACACCACCTTTAAAACTTGCGCCTCACACCTTAGACCCATGGTCCCTGGTTACTGACTCTTCCACCCTGGGAAAAAGCTTCGGACTGTCAAGTCTGTCCATGCCCTTCATAATCTTGTAGACCTCTATCAGGTCGACCCTTAACCTCTGTCATTCCAGTGAGAACAGCCCAAGCTTCTCCAACCTCTCCTCGTAACTAATGCCCTCCATACCAGGCAACATCCTGGTAGATCTTTTCTGTACCTCCACATCCTTCTGGTAGTGTGGCGACCAGAATTGAACGCAGATGCTGAAGGCTGTAAAGTATGATAGTGCAGAATGAGGGGTCCGTGATTACTAACCCATTTGAATTAGGGGTCCTTCAAACAAAAACATTTGAGAACGTTGAACTATGCATTTGTGTTTTTTTATTGTGGACTGATAAAAGATTACTTGGGAAAGAGGGGTTTCCATGGATGAAATTGGAGCGATATATTGGAATAACTAAGTGGGTAAAAGAATCAAAACATGCCGTGAATGGACAGATGCAGAGAATTTGACAGCTGCTGGAGCTAATGAATTTCTTTTGTAGAATTCCAACTTGCAACTCGTCATTATAAGTTCTTACTAAGCCATGAATCAGGCTCTCTGTCTTTGTTCAGTGGATTAGGATTTTTAGAATGCAGAGAATTCCAGTCAAGAAGCATATTTTATTCAACTAACAAACAGTTGTGCATGTTAATCAATAAGAAGGGAATTCTTAGAAGACTTAAATGCAAGATGACCAGTCCTCTACTACCATTTAAAGATTAGCAAACCTGTTTAGATTAATGAAGTCCATGCAGTTTGTTTTTGCTTTACAGGTTGTGACAAAGTAGGAATATAACTTGCATTTTCCAGCACTACACTGCTAAATCTAGATACCTATTTAAGATCAGTGCCTTGACTCTAACAATGTCTTAATGGATACGTTACGTTTTGAAATGAAGTAGGGTCGGAGAAGGTTTTTGTGGATAATAAAAGTACTGGGATGGATGTGTTGGGCTAAATGCCTTGTGTTGTAAATTTATTTCTACATTCAGTGCTTATGGCATCAAAACAAGACAATCAGGTAAGCTCTTCAGGTCTTTTTCATCATTAGCAGGTATGATAGTATCAAATGTCAATTAATTTAGTTAAGTACAGTCCTTTATATACTTATTAAACTAATGGAACGTGGTGTTCCAGTTGAGATTACCTTAACGAAATAGAATCGGTTTGTTTCACAAATGGCCCAGGTTTTGTTGCCAAAGTAATGGTGAGTTTAATGGCCTGGCATTATTGATGTGTATAATCTTCCAACAACTAGTGACAAAGAAGTGACTCCCCGTAAATTGTGTGTCTCCACAAGTTACGTGAAGGACATTAGTGAGCCAGATCAATTTTTTCATATATTTGATGATCATTTCAAGCTCACTATTTCTGAAACTGACTTTTTATTTCAGATTTTTTATTACTTAAATATAAATTCCACCATCGACCGTAATGGGTTTTGAACCTCTGTCTCGAGAGCATTAATCTGGGCCCCTTGGATTATGAATTCAGTGACATTACCACTCAACACCATTGTCTTTTTATTTGCATATAGGGTTGTTCCTAAATAATCATCAGTAATGAAAGGCTAGCTGGTTTTATTTTGAGATAACTGATGCCTCTTCACTGTCACTGCAGCTGAGATTAGTCAGCCAAACAAAAGTAAAACTCAACAACACCAACTTGCATTTATATAGCATCTTTAATACAGTAGAACATCCCAAGGTGCTTTATGGGGCAAGTGTTGATACCAAGGTGACAGGTGACTGAAAGCATAGTCAAAGAGGAAGGTTTTAAACAGCTTCCTAAAGGTAAAAGGCAGAGATTTTAGGGAGACCATTCCAAAGCTTAAAGCCTCAGTAGCTGAAAGTACTGCAATCCCCAATGGCCATGGGATGAAAATTCATACATCTGAAGATGATGTGAAATATCAGAGGGCAGGAGGAGGTCACAGCAGTGTGTTACGTTTCAGTTTGGTTTGATGTGATGTAGCCTAATATCTTTTCGTTAGGCGGAGCTAGTTTGAGAATGCCCTGTCGATGCACGATTTCAGACTTTAGTTGTCTCAAGCTCTGTAGTACTACAACTTTTAGGGGTACTGAGCAACCTTCTATGCTTCAAATATCTATAAGCATGCATGTGACGGGCTTCAGACAGTTATAGTTTACTTGTAGAATTCCCCAGATGGGGACTGAAGCCAATATTATCACTTCCAGTATGACTCCGTTTGAATCACTTCTTTCTTAATGGCGTTGTTCTATATTTTTCCTTGATGACAAGTACAAATACATAAATAACTTTTATGGCAATGTTAGTCCTCCCTTTTCAACGCTTGATTTAATGAAGTTATCTTGTCCTAGTGATTCATTTGGGGAAATATTTATTTATTAAAATTTCTGGCAGTGCAGAAAATCCATAAGGAAAAGGAAATTTAGGGCAGACCAAAGGACCATATTACCCAACTCTGTGGAAGGCTAGTCAGAGACAGTGGATGAAAAGGTTCGGGTCATGCAGCAATGTCGAACACTGGTTCACAGTTTTGTAATTGAGGAGAAGGGTTGACCATTAATGAATGTGAAGAGCTAGTTCTTCAAAGGATTGCCAATCTTAGGAATTCTCTGCAACAGACAATTGAGGTTGCCCAGTCATCAAGTAGGTTCAAGGTTGATAGATTTTGGGATATTCAGGAAATTGCGGAATATGGGGATAGTACAGGAGGTGGAATGGAGGTGGCAGACTAGCCATGATCATGCTCAGAGTTAGAAGGTTGTGTTTCAAGTCCCACACTTCAGAGACTTGAGTACTAAATGTAAGCTGACATTCCACTGCAGTATTCAGGGAGTGCTACACTGTCAGAAATGCCATCTTTTGAATGAGATATTAAAAAGGACGTTCAGTGCTCTTCAGCAGCTGCTTCTGCTTCACCCTGAGATCCACACTCAGTGCCATGCACTGCCTCATGCCACACCTCCATCTTCATCAGTATTGCCTCACAGCTATCGCGGTCCCTTGTTTCATTACATTCCTCGTCGCATTTGGTGCCTCAACAAGAAAACTTTTCTCTTTTTTAAATTTTAAGTAACCCACCTCTAAACACTCAAGGGCACCAATGCCCCTCTGGATTCCCCTTCTCCTCCCCTCACAACCTACTGTCTCCGTTCCTTCATCTCATACCACTTCTTGCTGTGTATGCACCATACCCTCCCCTGGCAGAGGCTGAGTACCAACTCTCAGACACTTCCTCCTATCTCCCCCTCGACATTATCCCACCATTAAACATCAGGCTGTTAACTCCAGACTGTCACAGACCTCACCTCCTCTGGAGATCTCTCCTGCACAGCTTACCCACATCATAGTTCTCCCAATCCCACGCAATCCACTTCTATTTCCTTCCCACAATCCACAAACAGGACTGCCCTGGCAGACCCATCATTTCAACCCATTCTGCCCAACTATACTTATTCATTCCTGTCTCAATTCTACAATCCCCCCCCGCTGCCCAACCCCCTTGTTGAGGTCTTCCCACTTAAATTTGAGATTCTTCTGAAACTTTACATCAGTTCTATAATTTGCAGTTTTCTGGTCCTAGCCACCACCTCTTTACCATAAACATGCAAAACCTCTACGCATCCCCCCGCCTTCAGATGGTCTGAAGGCTTTCCACTTCTTCCCTGAAAAAATACCTGTACAGTCTGTATCTTCCTCCAACTGGCCAAGTTTGTTTTCACTTTGAACAAATTCTCCTTTAACTCATCCCATTTTCTCAAGTCAAAGGTGCGGCCATGGTCACCTGCATGGGTCCCAGCCATACCTGTGTCTTTGTGGGGTGTGGAACATTCCTAATTCTAGTCCGATCTGGGCTTCCACCTTTGACTTTTCTTCCAATACATCATTGATGTCTTCAGTGCTGCTTCCTGCTCTTGGCCAGAATTGGAAAAATTTATCTATTTTTCACTCACCCTCACCTGGCCCATCTCTGACTCTTCTGCCCCTTCCCTGACTTCACTATTTCCCTTCCTGGGAATTGGCTGACCATCAGTTTCCATTACAAGCCCACAGACTCCCACAGTTACCTTGACTACACGTCCTTACATCCTGCTTCCTGCATGGAGTCCATTCTATTCTGCCAGTTTCTCTGTCTCTGTCACATTGTTCTGGTGATTCCACCTTCTGCTCGGCTGTCTCCGATGTGACCTCCTTTTTCGTCAACCGAGGATTCCCTTAGCCCATTTTGGTTAACAGGGCCTTCGGCCATGTCTCCCCACCTCTGGCCTCTGCCACAACCCCTCCTTCCCAGAAAACCAATAGGGTTCCCCTTGTCCTTACGCTCCACTCCACTGGTCTCTGCATTTATCCTCCACCATTTCCACTACCCCCAGCAGGATGCCATCACCAAAGACATCTTCCCCTCTCCTCCCCTGTGAGCATTCCACAGGGACCATTCCCTACGTGACACCCTGGTCCATTCCTCCATCACTCCTAACGCCTCCTCACTCCCCCATGGCACCTTCCCGTGCATTCACAAAAGGTGTAACACTTGGCCATTTTCACCACCTGCATCCTCACTGTCCAATGCCCCAAATACACCTCCCAGCTGAAGCAGTGTTTCATGAGTGCTTGATTCAATCTAAAACCGAAAGGAGGGTTCTGAAGAAGGGTCACTAGACCCGAAATGTTAACTCTGATTTCTCTCAAGGATGCTGAGTTTCTCCAGCAATTTCTGCTTTTGGTCCATTCAATCGAGTCCACTCATTTTGCAGCTCAAAGTATTCTCCCGTTTACGTGTGTGAACACTTTGCAGAATATTTCTGCTGTGTCCATAGGAATGACCAGAATGTTCCAGTTGCCGGCCATATCAATAAACCACCTAGCTCTTGTGCTAACATGTCAGTCCTGAGCCTGCTGCAATGCACCAACGAAGCACAATGCAACCTCGAGAAATAACGCCTCCACTTCCAGTTCCACCTCAAGGTCTCAACTTCAACTGAAATCAACTTCAGAAACTGGCAGTATTATGCCAGCTCTCCACAATCCCGCCTTCCGCCTCACAGCATTGTCTTGTTTGTGCCTTGCACACCAGTAGAGAGAACCATTCTGACCTTTTTCACATTTTAATTTACATTGATTTTAAACCCTTCTTTCCATGTTGAGGTTATACAGGACTTTGGTGAGGCCATTTCTGGAGAACAGTGTACTGTTCTGGTTGCCCTGCTATAGGAAGGACCTTATTAAATTGGAGAGGGTTCAGAAAAGATTTACCAGGATGTTTGCCAAGGACTGGAGGGACTGAGTTATAAGGAGAGGTTGGGACTTTTTCACTGGAGTGTAGGAGGTTAAGGGGTGACCTTATAGAGATTTATAAAATGATGGGGAGCGTAGATAAGATGAATAACAAAGGTCTTTTCCCTAGGGTGGTGGAGTCCAAAACTAGCAGACATATTCCTAAGGTGAAAGGAGAAAGATTTAGAAGGGACCTGAGAGGCTACATTTTCACACAGAGGGTGGTTTGTATGTAGAATGGACTGCCAGAGGAAGTGGTAGATGCAGGTACAGTTATAACATTTAAAAGACATTTGGAGAGGTGTACGAGTCGGAAATATTTGGAGGGATACAGGCCAGGCGCAAGCAAGTGGGGCTCGTTTAGTTTGGGAAACTTGGTCAGCATGGATGAGTTGGACCAAAGAGTCTGTTATCATGCTGTAAGACTCTACGACTCTGTGACTCTACAACCTCGTTGTCTTATGCACTGGGCTCTATACCCTTTGCCCCTCCTCCACCTCTGTCAAAAATATACTTTAAAAAATTCCAACCTCTTTCAGTTCGGAAGAAGTCATACCGGGCTCAAAATGTTAACTGTTTCTCTCTCCACAGTTACTGTCAGACCTGCTGAGTTTCTCCAATGTTCTGCTTTCATACTAAAGTAAAGCCTCTTCTATCCTCTCAGACAGACATAAAAGCACCACAGTACCATTATAGAAGATCGTGGGTGTTCTCACTGGCATCCTGGCCAGTTTTATCCCTCAGTCTTCAGAGAATCTTTGAAGTACAGTTGCCCTTGAAATGTAGGAAGGATAGGATTTTGAGCATGGTAATATTCCACAGACAGCAATGTGACGATGACCGGGAAATCTGGTTTACTGATGTTGTTTGAGGAATAAATATTGGCTCAGGGACATTACTTTCACAATTAGTGGCTAAAATGTTGCCTGATGAGTAAGTTGTTGCTTATTCTCTTTTGAAATGCAATGTGATATTACGTCAAAGAAAGATGTTTTTCAGTGTTTCATATTGATTGTAATGATTCCTTGTTACTCTTGACAGCTAAAGGCTCCTGGGAAGTATCTGCTGGATTTGGTTTGCCAAAACCTGAACCTAGTCGAGAGTGATTATTTTGCATTGGAGTTTCTGGACCATCGAAAGATTATGGTATGTAACTTCAATCATGACCGCATTGTGCTGCCCTGTTGCCTCCTGCATCCAGCAATGCTAAGAGGATCCCAATTAAAACCATAACACTCATTAATTGTGATGTTACAGAAAGCAGTCTGAATACACTAAACTGAAATATTTGGAGAGTCACTTTTTAAAACCTTTGGCTTAAAAACTTCCTGTCTGAGTATATTCATTGTGTGCAGGTGTACTGTCTTTTTTTCCCTCATAAATGGTCATGATGGACTTACCCCACAAACTGAAACCTGTCAATGAAACAAGGTATTTTTCGTAGAGATGTTATTATCGTGGTAAAATGTGTCGGCTACAGATGGTCTTCAGTGCACCAAATACCTTTCACAATTTGAAACACCCAGGATATTACTGCTCTGCCTGAGGCAGGAGTGGATTATTTGTGCAAGGGGCATCTTTTGTGGAATGGTGAGCTATTACCCATCATGCTCAGCAACTGAGAAACTGCTGTATCTCTGGGCTTGATCCAGGCATGGCTCTCTATCCCAGGGACCAGCCAATCTCCATGACATCATGACTGCTGAGTTAAGAGCTTTCCATCCCGCCAAAAACTTTTATAATTGTACAATATCAACATTAGCAAGAAGGGTGCTCACAATTAAAGTCAGCAGATGCCATTTGTCTCTAGATCACTTGCCTTCATTACTGAGTCCTTTGAGTATTGCAGTTGGGAAGTCACGTTGAGGTTGTACAGGACATTGGTGAGGCGTGTTCTGGAATACTGTGTCCGGTTCTGGTCTCCCTGTTATAGGAAGGATGTTAATAAGGTAGAAAGGGTTCAGAAGAGATTTACCAGGATGTTGCCAGGTCTGGAAGGTTTGAGTTATAAAGTAAGGCTGGTTAGGCTGGGACTTTTTTCACTGGAACGTAGGAAGTTGAGAGGTGACCTTATAGAGGTTTATAAAATCATGAGGGGTTTAGATAGGGTTAATGGCAGGTGTCTTTTCCCTAGGATGGAGGATTTCAAGACTGGGGGGCATATTTTTAAGGTGAAAGGAGAGAGATTTAAAAAAGACATAAGAGGCAAATTTTTTACACAGAGAGTGGTTCGTGTATGGAATGAACTTCCTGAGGAAGCGGTGGATGTGGGCACAGTTACACTGTTTAAAAGACACTTTCCAAATAAGAACATTTGGAGGGATATGAACCAGGAGGAGGTAGGTGGGGCTAGTTTAGTTTGAGATTATATTCAACATGGACTGTTTGGACTGATATGTCTGTTCCTGACTCTATAACTCTATAACTGGAACACATTCCCCATAAAAGCTGAAGCTGGGAGTTTTTGAAAATTTGGCATCTGAGATTGGTAGATTTTTGTCAGGCAAGGATGTTGAAGGTTCCAGTCTCCCAACTCGTGATTGGAATTAAGAAATGGATTTAAGTGAATGGTGGAAGAGGTTGGAGTCTCCTCCTGTTCCTACCTCCCTGTGTCAGTAATATTGCTGCTCGTATCAAGAGCTTAAAAAATACGTAACATTTGATGTAATTCAGTTTGTGAGCACTTTTAGGAAAACGATTTAACTTCATTTTCATTTTCGTATGGCATCTAATGCAATAACACAACTTCAAAACAACTGCCATGATTTTGACAGGCAAATAATTCAATCTTATTCAATTCAACACATGGAAACCAGACAAGAGTATCGATTTGAAATAATTAATTAGCATAATCCCATCCACATAAATAATATTAAAGGTCAGTTGAATCCATTATGTATTGTTGAAATAGAACAGGTTGTATGATTACTTAAATATTTGCTGACAAATGGTAACTATAAGATCTTGTACTGTTAGGTGTGGCTTGACCTTTTGAAACCAATTGTGAAGCAAGTCAAAAGTGAGTATTGTTTATTTTGTATTTTTTTGCTTTGACAAACTGTATCTTTTCATCAAACTAGTTTTTTCTACAGATATTGATAGTGCTAGTGGTTGGATTTAACATCATTTGTCATACCAAAAGGCACGCTTTTCCTTTTAGGGAGTGGGAAGACAAAGGAGATTTGAAATGGGGCATTTTTTGGGACTTTAATCAGTCCTCTCTTCACCCAGCCAGCAGTTTTCATATCTCTGCCTCACCAAATGTTGCATCTGTTTGGAGACCTTCGTCAGATGTCTAACTTTCTTCCAACTTTGAGTGAGATCTGTGAAAATATTTAATTCTGTGTATCTTTCCAAAATCCTAGATGGCTAATTGCGCAAAGATGCAAACAGACTAATATAGTACAAAAAGAGCTCCTTAGGCCCATTGTGTCTGTGCCAGCTCTTTGGAAAAGGTAGCCAGTTTGTTCTTCTCCCTTGTTCTTATTGCCATGCAAATATTTCCTGCTTTTTAGTATCCAACTCCCTTTTTGAAATTCAATATTCAGCCTGCTTCCACCTTTTCAGAGCGTGCATTGCAGATTATAACAACTCACTTCAGTAAAAGAGACTTTCTCATCTTCTTAGATAACAAGGTGTAGAGCTGGATGAACACAGCAGGCCAAGCAGCATCAGAGGAGCAGGAAGGCTGACGTTTTGGGCCTAGACGTCAGCCTTCCTGCTCCTCTG